ATGGCATATATGTTGATTTGGGAGTTTTGATTAGCTTAAGTCCTTCTATATATTCTCTGGATTCGGAATCAATACAATAAAAACTTTTAAAAACCTTTAAAATGTAGCAGCATATGGCATGCAAACATCCTGGTAATTTCAAAATATGTGAGGAAAGTATTATTTTTGAAAAGAAACCTGCAGTCAGCCTGGGAATTTATTTTTGATCTATAGCACTGCAAAGCTCTGCATATTGAAGATTAAATTAACCATTAAATTAACACAGGCAGAAGCAATATCATTTTTATTTAAGAAGATTACATGAAAAATCATCTCTCTATATAAAAAAGTTCCCAGTATTGCAGTTGTAGATCAGCCAAATTGTTCTATAATTCAGAAGCCTTTCCTGCTGCCTGTTAAATAATTCTTCAAATTTCATGTTAAACGAAGATCTGCCAAAAATTGTGTGGAGAGAGAAAGAAATCCAAAGGGGAAAAAAACAGATTTTTGTCTGGTGCAGATCAGACCAATTTTATAACGGTCACATTCATTGTTTTCTCTTCCTGCAGAATCTATCACATAAAGCTAAGCACAAAATATTCATATGTTTCTTATGTCTTCATGTCATTTCAGAACAACCAATTATCACATTCCATCTGTCACAGGACACATTTCTCTGACTTGTACCTGGATTTGGGCACTGGTCCTAAATATTATAATTTTCTCAGATCAAAACCCAAATTTACTTTTGCAAAACATCTTAATATACTTGGGAACAGAAGGAGTAAGAAACAAGATGTAGAAAGCTATCAGTTCTTTCTTCAACCCATCCCTTTCCTTATTCTGTTTTAATAATAATTTTTTTAAGTAAAAAAATACTGTTTATTAAATTATGTTGATTGTCCTCCCTAAATGAAATTATTCATGATGTCTAGATCTTCTTTTTTATTTTTTTTATTTTTCCTTTTTTTTCTTTACAAACAAACTTAATACACAATACATTTTTTCTTTTCCCTTAACAATACTATGTCCTATATCGCTTAAGTTTATTTACATTTATTTACATTACTTCTCATACTTTTTTATTCTGCAATTCTAGCCAGTTATAATACATGTCCCATATCTTGTAAAATTCTGTAACTTCTTTGTCTTTTATTTTTAAGAAAAGTTTGTTCATCTCAGCACAGTCTAATATCTTACATACAATCATTGCATTTGCTGGCATGTTCTCCCTTTTCCAACATTGCGCATATGCAGTGCGTGCTGCAGTTATAATATGTATAATGATATATTGGATTAATAATCATTTTTTATTGATGTTTACACTTCTAAAAAAAATTAATACAAACTAAGAAAAATATATATAAAAAAGAGAAAAAATAATACAGAAAAATATATATAAATATATAAAAGCATTACTTCCCCCTCTATCAAGACAAATACAAACAATTTCAGTAACTTATCACCATCATTTATATTTTTTTAAAAAATCTCTTCTTCCCCATCTCATCTATAATCAAATTATAAAGTCCTAATCAGCAAAAGTCCATTGACTGACTAGAAATAGCAACATATATGTTAAACTTAATCAAATATATCAGTTTTATATTACTTTTCTTTACTTTGAACATACTGTAGTAATTTATCAATTTCTCTAACCATACACCAAAAAAAACCCCTTTCTTTGTCTTGTCTTGATTTGTCATCTTTAAAGCCTCATCATTCAGTTCTAGTAAAACAAAAAATGTTTAAGATACCGGTCCCAAACCCTTTTGGCACCAGGGACTAATTCTGTGGAAAACCTCCCCAGAGGAGGGATGGTTTTGTGCACTACCTATCCTGTGCATGCACAGATGAAACTTTGCTTGCTTGCATGGCCCAATTCCTAACAAGCCACAGACGAGTACCACTCCACAGCCCAGGGATTGGGGACTCCTGATATATATAAAAAAATATTTATAAAAATAAATAACATTTGTATGTCTTTCATTATTTTGGGGAATCTGGATCTCCTTTTAATTGGTGTCTCAAAAGTTGATTTCTTATCATTTTCTCTTTGTCTCTTCTCAGAATGTCCTTCATAAGTTTAACAAGCCTCTTTTGTAAATCCAAGATAAGAAAGTTATCCAAGTCACTCTTCTGATTATTTGCATATCTCCTTTAATTATGAAGACATTAGCTGGTTTCATTTGTAAATCCAATGTAGCATCTCTTTCCATATCATTCTTGTAGCCTGACATTTTAAAATCTAGTTTCATATCCACATTTGAAACAGCCTGTTTTGTCTAATTTGTCTAATGTTTCTCTTCTTTAACCTCTTTTAATCCATTTTTATAACAGCAGACAATTTTAAGACTAATTTCTGAGTGCATTGATACCAAATATCCCTGAATTCTCCTAAAGTCAGATATTTTTGCTCCGTACTGTAACAGAACAGAACAGAACAGAACAGAATAGAATAGAGCTGGAAGGGACCTTGGAGGTCATCTAGTCCAGCCATCTGCTCAAGCAGGAGAACCTATACCATTTCAGACAAGTGACTGTCTAGTGTCTTGTTAAAAATCTCCAGTGATGGAGCACCCACAATTTCTGAAGGCAATATTAATGGTTCTCCTCTAATTATCATCTTTCTGGTTCTCTCTAGTGTCCATCTTTCTTATCACATTTATTTTCTAGTCAACAACATTTTCCCATGGGACGATACCTCCATTAATTTCAAAATCTTCACAGATTTTTAAAATAAATTTTTAAGCAACCCTCAGGAAGAATACTTGTAATTAATTTTGAAATATTATCTCAAGTCCCTCTGGTTCCTTAATCCATTTATAACTTTCCAAAATCAATGTTCTAACGACATTAGCTGTTTATTAAAAAAAAAAACCCACTTTTTAAGGTTCTTAAACTTGCATAAAACTTCTTTCTTCAAGGATAGAAGGAAACATACCTGGTATAATGAAACTCACCTTTCCAAAGGTTTTTAATATCAAAAAAGCTGCTAATGAGAAAGTTCCAGAAGTAATTAAGAAAGGAAGTATGCAAACCCTGTGTCCATGAAGGCTCCAAAACATGGCTTGGGAAAGCTTGCAATTCCTCAGCTCACAGTGCTCTAAACTAAATCTATCAGAACCAGCTGTCTCACAGTTTCCTCAGTTTCCACAGCTTCCTGGAGTGCTTGTGACAATCTTGGTTCTTTCCTTATTCTAGAGAATTCCAAGGTGCTGTTCCATTGACCAGCTTCTCATTCCACTGCAATCATCACCTCTGCTCTTGCAGAGCTGTCTTCAGTGACAATGAGAGAAGCTAAAGGTTTTTTCTGTATTTCAGTCATAAGCTCTTGGGCCTTGTATATAAAACTGGAAATGAAGGCAGTTGAAGAAATCCCTTTATGTATTTCAACCTCTTTCTCCACTTTGCTGTGCTGATGGCTCATGTTCTCACTATTCTCTCCCCAAAACAATTGTCATGCCCTTTGATTAATAGATTTTCCCCCTTCCTCCCATTGATGCTGTGAAAAGAAGCACCAATTCCTTTCTATCAGTGGATAGTTGAGGACAAAGCTTCCACCAATAACCATTTTGTATGAGCTTGTCAGTATTGACTTCCAGTTATACTTGACATCTTCCCATTTGCTACGTCCTCTAGTAATCCATGTAACAACAACAAAAACAACAACAGTAAACCATTTTATCATTCTTTCTATACATTTGTCTTGAATGGGAAACTGGCATAACCCATGTCAATTTTATCTGGTCACTATATGCAGACATAAGGGAGGATTCCCTTATCAATTCCCTTAAGCACCTATATGCCAAAACAAAAACAAAACACACACACACACACACACACACACACACACACACACACTCTACATACAGAATATATATATATATTCTATATGCACAGAATATTCATATGTTTCTTATGTCTTCATGTCATGTCAGAACAACCAATTATCACATTCCATCTGTCACGGGACCTATTTCTCTGACTTGTACCTGGATTTTGGCACTGGTCCTAAATATTATATACATATATATATATATATGTTCTATATTTCATCATTCCATTAGGAAATTTAGAAAAGGAAAGAGAAAAAAGTCCAAACTTTCAGGGTCAAATAGTGTTAAAAATGTTTGTGAAATCTAAGTGGGAGACCCAACAAAGATTCATGAATTACCGGTATGATCTTTTCAAGAGAGGGAACCAAGGGCCAAATCACTCTAGAGATCATTGACCAGAGAAGGAGCATTCCTATCACATAGTAGTCAACTGGAAGAGAGGCATTTGTTTATAAGGAAATGAAGTTCAGCAGGCAAAAATACAGTGCTAAAACAAGTTGTAAAGCACTGCTTCCAATGAGCACAGGCTGGCTTCCTGTCAGCACAGGGATATGTAGAAGATGATAAAATGTGTTCCCAATCTTGACAAATGATTAGTGGCCAGCACTTGCACTTGGGCAATAAGTTCAAACTTCATATTTTCCACTTGCCAAACCACTAGACACTCAAATCAAACATTAAGACATTAAGGAGTACTTAAAATATCTTTGTACTGCAAGTGCAGAAAATCTATTTGTATTCCCTGTTGTGCTTTTTGGTTTTTTGAACCTCCATTACTCTCTTCTGCCTTCCATTGAGAAGTATATTTTATGCTTGTAGATTGTATCCATGATTTTGTAACTTGATTATGCTCAGTGGAAAATTAATGGCAACAGGTTTAGACCTTCTTTCTCTGACATGTGTAAGATGATGGTCTTAGCAGTATGAGAACCTTAGAAAAGACTTTTCTTAGGAATATGCAAGTACAATCAACACAGATGAAGCTAGAGTGAGTGGGAATCTGTCTTTCTTCCTCCATCTGCCTCCGTGGTTTTTGGAGGAAAGGAAAATAAAAGAGACCATGGGATATATATTTTCTCTCTATTAACATATACTGTATTTTCCAGCATATAAGACGACTTTCTAAAGCATGCAAATCATCTCCGAAGTCTGGGGTCATCTTATACGCTGAGTAGTCTTATACGCCGGAAAGTACGGTAGTTTCCAGTGTATAAGACGACTTTCTAACCATGCAAATTGTCTCTGAAGTCGGGGGTCGTCTTATATGCCAAGTCGTCTTATACACCGGAAAATACGGTACTCTAGTGATGAAGATATAAGTTTAATATTCATTCTTTGCTAATTATGTCTCTTTTCATTCTCTGTTCCAGTCTTTCTTGTGCTCTCCCTAGTTATAAAAACTTTGCAGCAGCAGCTTCTTTTTTCTTATTCACCTGTGATCACTTGTTTATTGATGGTATTATTTATTTATTCATTCAATCTATAGGGCCACCTATCTCAAATGCATAACTCCCTATGGCTAACTATGAATAAAAACAAGATTAAAATATTACAACAAAATAATAAATAACATACAGCAGCCAACATAAAAACCAATCAATAATAATTAACACATACATATTTATATGAATAAACTGCAATGTGAGAGCTTAAAATAGGGTGGAAAAGCAATTTCTCTGACCATATAGTGTGGGGGTATCAAACTGCCAGCCTGCGGGCTGGATGTGTCATCCAGAAGCTGTGCCCACACCATTGCTGGCAATGGCAAAAGCGTCCCGATACGTTGCGCGATGTCATGTGATGTCACGAGTTTGACATTTCTGATATAGAGTCATTTATAAGAAATGGGGGACTATGTAAATCCAATCCAATCAGATCTAATCCACCAAACTCAAACCCAAACCAAACCCAAACCCATACCCATATCCATACCCATACCACATCACACCACACCACACCATACCAAACACAAACAAAGACAAACACAAACAAACACAAACACAAACCATATCAGGCTGTAAATCCAAGCACACACAAACAAAAGCTGACAAAACTCTGTCCCAATATTTAGGAAAAGAAGCACAAATATCCCTCTCCTCAAATTTGCTTCCTTTCCCCAACAACTGTGATTTACAAGCATCTCCAGTGTTTAGTGTGGTCATTCTCCATCAAAATAAGCACTTGTCATTTTTTTTAAAAAAGGTAAAGCAGTATAGATAAGTTCAAATAACTCTGCAAACTACATTTTTGTTTGTTCATTATCATATTTATACCTGCACAGTCCTGATCTAGTGAAATACAGCACATAAAAGATGGTGATTTACAGTAAAACATGAAACATCAGAAGTTTTTTTCAATATGTAAGAGATCTGTAAAACAATATAAGCAATAAACAACATACATAAAAACTACATTGTGAGTTTTGCATCATTTTTGATGCAACTATCAAAAAATAAGATCATAAATAATATTTTTTCTTATTTTTCAGGATTTATAAGCCACTCTGATCTTAAAAGACGCTGGACAATGCACAACATAGGAAACAAAGCATAATGCCAAAACAATAGAAATCTCTAAACCAATGTATAAATAAAAAAATCTTTAAAATGGGCTAAAATGCAAAATAGCAAAGATAGCCAACCAGGTCAACTGTAGCTGAAAATTCTTAAGAGGAATACTGGGTTTAGTAGGTTACACAAAGCTAAGAAGTTGTCAAATTTGTAAGGCCACCCAATTCCCTAACAATTTGGGTAGTGTACAGTATTAAAAATAGTTTGGAACAATAAGAAATAGAAACATACATCTACCCAGAAGTAGGCTCCATAAGAATGAATGAAATGTTAGATCTTTCTATGATAAATGTTACATATCAACATTACATCATGATTATTGGTCTTCTGGATGATTCTCATATCATCCAGCCAATAACCATTTGTCTTTTCTCCTTCATTTCTTTCCATGCCCAAAACACCTGATTGTGTTTTTTTTCCTCCCTAAAAGCTACTGCATTTGTGGCATAATAAACAGTATTTCCTTGATTTTGAAGACAATTTTTGTGCAATACTTCCCTTCCTCTCTTCTACTTCGGCAAGTCTTCACTGTTTCATTACCCATGTTCCTGGAATTCATTCATTCAAGTACTCAATCAACCATACTTTTGTGCCTCCTCAATCAACCCCTTCACAGATGAGCTGAGAAATACTCAGCAGGATTCCAAAGACTACTGTTTAAAATCTATCCACTCATTCAACCATATTATTTCCTGATATCAGCTGAGTTCTGAAGATTTTACTTACATATTGTACAACTCATGATCCATTGGGTCACCCTAGTGATATTTCTTTACCTAAACAGAGAAACACAATGTCTACAAGTGGATTGCTATTGTTTTGGTTTTAAAATTAAAAAAAAAACACATGACTTTATTAAAGAAGAAGGATTCGTAGCAAGACAAATATAGATTCTTTTTGTTTAACAAAGGACATTTTTGATTATCACTTCTGGTTGATATGTCCTTCTTTAAGAATACTCTAATGTTTTTCTTTTCTTTGGCTAAAAGCAACATACAGCTGATCATACTGGAATGCTGATTTCTCTGAATAAATCAGCACGTTCTCCATGGCTTGTTCCTGTATTTCATGTATAGTGAGAGCAAAGTATGACAGTATTGGGAACTGTATCCACTGAAGTGGGACATTTTCACCTCCTAATAAATTGAGTGCATTTTTTGGAATCATGCCAGTGCCAGTTTTGAATACCCCAATGTTTATGTTTGTTCAAGGAGATTTTTTTGGAGTTCTTCGCTAATCATCCACATTCCACAGCAAAGCCTTGGAAGATTCAAGTTCAATGAGTAGTGTTGGCTCTTTCACTGACAGAGATGAAGAAATAATGTTATTTCATCTTTCCAGGGAAGCTTCTAATGCAGGTAGAAATCATTTTTCTCATCATTTCATTGAGGGGAACCAAGATAGAATTCTCGGAGAACGCTTTGACAGAATTGTTAGATGTTAGGTAATTGAAATCTATACGTTCTTCCATAGATCTTGCTGTCAGAACAGTATCTTCTGGCAATTCTTTTTTTATCATTTTGATTTTTCTGAATTCCAACATTCAATAAGAATCCAGAATATCTTTTTTCCCTCAGTCATTACATGTTTCTCTTCAACTAAAACTTGAAAAAGCTTCTCAATAAGTATGATTTTTTTGATGCATGAATTATCCACATTTGCATAATTTCATATTTTCACAGCTAGTAGAAGCTGATGGAAATCACATAGCAAATGGTTAATATTCCGCCCAAGGCCTCATTCTTGCCACATACATCACAAGAAGAATGGTGTATGACTTCAAAGCTCTGTCTTCTAATAATGGATTCTCATCCCAGACAATAAACCTTTACACATTGAAACACATTTGCAGTATTGGGTTTATTTCATTATTACAAACAACATTTTCATTTACTTTGAGAAGTATCTTGAATCTTGAATGCACTCTTCTACCACAAGGCATCAATGTTGTTGTAATACCAGATCACCGCAATAGCAACATCTCCACCTCCCCTAACTTTAGCCAAGATCAAGTTGGTACAAATGTATTTCCCATTCTTCCTTGTTCATCATTAAAAATGTCTGAAAAAAGATTGCTTTGCAAGCACTTATATAAATAATGATTTAATGTGCTTTGCTCATTATTCAATAAAGGGTGGTTGTGTACTCTAAATTTCTGATGTTTGTTTCTGTTGTATTACTGCTTATGCAATAATTCCTGATTGCCACCATGTTGATTAATTGCACTTGTTGGTTTTGGCAAGTTATATTCTTAGTGTTTTTTTCTGAATTTCTCAAGTTTTTCTTGAAAATTTAGGAGAGCTTGTTCATGATAAGCTCTTATTGATCATGATATTAGATCACTGATATTCTCTCAATTTGGAGGAAATCTTCAGACATTGCATTCTTGAACTGGTTCCACAATTGCTGTGGGTCATTGATTTCAGTGTTGGTTAGCAAGACAACAAACAAATCTTTCATTGCTCTGGGTATTCTTGTTTTTTTGGTGTCTTCTATAGTTTGTTGCCAGTGATCATCAGCTTGCAAAAATCTTCTCTCTCTCTGCAGATGTCTTTGAATGATGGAAAGATGTATCCATTATGTTTCTTAAATGACTTCAAAGGTACCAACTCCTTCACGTGAAAGAAACAGTATCAAGTAATGGAGGTCATCACTTCATGGAAAAATGGTATATACTCATCCCCAGAACTTCAAAAATCCCAGAGAACTCTTCCAATCTTTTCCAAATGGGTGTTATTTTTAAACCAGATTCAGGACCCCTACATGCTCAAATGCCACACAAAATGGCAGCATAGGTATTTTGTGATTGGCAATATGGACAACAATAGTTTGTTTGGCATAGCTAGCAAATGACTGCTGAAATAGATAGATCATAGCAATCTATGTGTCAGAATAGTCACTGGGTGCCACAGTGCTAATGTGGATGTGTTTTATGCTGACTTGAATAATGACAAGGTATAAGTGGAGTTTCATGCTCAGGCAAAGACTGAATTAATTTTAAGGGAAGCAAAAAGATTAACGCTATGTCATATGTGTGGATCTCCATATTCTTTCACTTGACACTGCATGGTGTTACAAGCATAATTTCAATGTACACTGGGAGATTACCCACTGAAATTTGTCTGAAGAGTAAAAAGAGATTTCCCAGTAGTATATCTAGAGTCTTATAATTCTTCTGTCAGGGTGATACAAGGCCCAGTATCTTCATAAGTATCAAAGAGCAAAAACGCTATTTTTTTTCTTTTAAATATTATTGATCTCTTCCTCTTTAGTCACCTACTAATAACGTGTATAAATATGTGTATACTCTCCTAAACATGGACATTATAGGGCTCACTTGTTTCTGTGTACTAAAGCATTTTTTCTTACTAATATATGTCAACCTAGAAAATACTTTTAACAGTCATTTTACCTTTTCTAGCACAGGGGTCCCCAACTCCCAGTCTGTGGACCAGTACCAGGCCACGGCCTGCCAGCAACCAGTCCACACAAGCAAACAAAGCCCCATCTGCAGGATGCAGGCAGCACACAAAACCATACCCCCTCTGGTCCACAGAAAAACCTCTTTCCATGGAACCGGTCCCTGGTGCCCAAAAGGTCAGGGACCTCTATTCTAGCAGAATTGAGGCCATGTCTGAGATAGAGGTGATCAGCAATAATAAGAAAGTTGGGTCTGTGAAGAACATGTGAGAACAAAAGCCCTCTGAAGAATAATGGCTGGCTCTAGAATAGAAGAATAGGGTTTGAGGCTGGCCAGTTCATTATGAGCAGACAGAATATCTGCTATGAATATGAGATCAAGATGGCATTGTCAGAAATAACTTCAATTTCTGGAAACAGATCAGCATCAGCCAAAATATTATCATAAAGGTTTATTGCTTGCCCTTTCCTCAAAACCTTTATTGTATTTCTACCTGATTGTCTCAAATGCAAGCAACAAGCATGCAATAGAGGATAAAATTATCTGGCATATATTTATATTGCATGTAAGTAAACATTTAATGCAGTCCACATATGCTAAAAGTTTAGCTTAGCAAAGCATAGATCTAGGAAACACGATTTATTTTCTTTCTAATTACAGCCTTTGGCTGAAATCCCAAACAAACTGTTATCAAGGAAATAATGAAGCAGTACTAACAATTCAAAGTGCTATTTTTAGGGATCAGTATGCAGCAGAGATATCCTACTATCAATGGGGAATTCCAGGAATGAGGTTTTAGCAGAATAAAAAGTACTGAATTCAAGATTTATTTGCTGGTTTAAGCTTTTAGCCACTGCCAGGAAGGATGGTCTTACTCTTCGCTCTTCCTTGACCATTACTTTTTAATCTGTACTAAAGATGCTAATATTGTGTTATCAGACCTCTTCTGGTGAAGTTGATCACCCCATTTTGAGCTCAGAGTACCTCAGCAACTTTAAGCTTGAAACATTTTGAATATAAAAGAGGGATATGGTTTGGATGCAATCATAAAAGAGTTTGTATACACCCATATACCACCATTATAGGCATTATTGCTGGAGAAATTTTGAAGCAATATAGTAACTATTGTCTAGGGACCGCATTGGAGACCAGCACCAGAGGTCATTAAACTTATTTTCATCACAATTTCTCATCATGAACAATTGCTAAATGAGGTAATTCCTAATGAGAACTAAAAGAAAGAAAGAAAGAAAGAAAGAAAGAAAGAAAGAAAGAGGAAGGAAGGAAGGAAGGAAGGAAGGAAGGAAGGAAGGAAGGAAGGAAGGAAGGAAGGAAGGAAGGAAGGAAGGAAGGAACCATTAACCTTCAATATTATTAATTTTAGATTTTGTCCTCAAGTGAATCAATTAGATACAGAAAGCACTATTTTTAAATGAAAATACATTATTTTTAACAAAAAAGAAGAAAATAATCGAAAATTGAAAGCATATTTTGCCCAATGAAGCCTTGTCTAAGTTTCATTTCCTGTTGGGCAGATGGAGGGTGCTAAAGAGTACAAGATCATTCCATTCTGGGTTCTTAGGAGAAAAAGCAGCAGGAACAACTTATGGGAGTGACTTGTGACTTTCTCTAGCTTCTCTATTGTCTTTGTGGGAAGGTGACCAGGAAGGTCACAAATGATAATCATGTAACCTCAGCTCACCATGACAGTTGCAACTTCACAACCAGTTTTAAATCCCACTTGGTCGGCACTATTCATAATTTTGAATGGTCAGTGAATGAGTGGTCATAAGTTGAAGCCTAACTGTCTATATACACTACATTGTACAGTTAACAACCATTTATTCAGTAACTATTTACATTTATGATGCTGTTGAACAAATGGAGGCTATAGTGTATAGCCAGTCCTTGTAGTTATAGCTGTTGCAATGCTCTTGTGGTCACATAATATAAAATTGGGCACTTGGCATATCATCTGTATTTAAGACCGCTGCATATATTTTAACTCCCCTCATCCACCTATCTTCCCCCTTCTCTGCCTTTTGGAGACCCTGCACTCCACCACCACTGTCTACCCCTTCAACCCTCTGCTGCTACCAGCTGACCTTCACAGTCTTCTTTCTCCTGCTGCTGCTCAGCTCATGAGGCCTTCCCCAAAACTTCATAAGGCCTCTGCGAAGCCTTATGGATACCCTGCACAGATGCCTCATGGGGATTCAGGGAGGACTCACAAGGGTCTTGCTAAGGGGCAGCAGTTGTCCCCAGCTGGGCACCCCTTGTCAACCGTGGAAGAAGAAGACAGCAAAAGTTAGCTGGGGGTAGAGGCGCAACAGGAATAGGTAGGAGCAGCAGGGTATAAAACATAGACGAGTGGAGATAGATGGATGTGGGATGTTGAAGTGGAAGGTAACATGGCAGGGCAAGAGAAATGTGAAGTCCCAGCCTTCTGGTACTACCATCACTAAGCTGTGTGGTCACATGATATTTCATCTAACAATTGCTTTACTTAGCAATGGAAATTCTGATCCCAGTTAGGGTTGTTAAATAGGACTGCCCTGCATTTTTTTTTAAAAAAGTAAATATTTCCTATTCTTTCTCCTCCCCCCTCACTTCAGTTTTTCCATTAAAACAAAAGGCTGAAATACCCTTCATGAACTCCTACGGGAGACATCAAACTCTGCAAGACAGCAGTCACAAAGTTATCCCAAAGATGCTTTTTCGCAAGGCAACTGGACTTGTTTTTCTTTGAAGATGTTTCACTTCTCATCCAAGAAGCTTCTTCAGCTCTGAGTCTTCAGAGAAAAACAAGAAAGTCCAGTTGCCTCACAGAAAAGCCTCTTTGGGATAACTATGACCTGGATGACTGAGAATCTCCATAGACAACAGTCACAAAACCACCCCCTTTTTCACAAGTGCTGCATGCATGTCCCCAAAGGATGAAGCTTTAATCATGACACTACTATCATCTTGCAAATTTTGATCCTGCAGGCATCACTTTTTTGCTGTGAAATTCCATTCTTTTTTCTTGGTCCTCTGCTAAAGTGGGAGTAGAGGCCTGTACTTCACAGCCAGTACATCACCTGTTGTTAGCCAGTTTCCTTACAACAGTTGTTACAATTATACCCTAAAAATCTGGGTCTCTGTTGAGAAGAAAATGTTTGCATCTGGATATTTTTCAGAGTAGCAACAGTTAATTTTTCAGGTTCAACCTTGTTTTTAAATCATGTGTGCCTCCCTGTATTTCAGTGAAGTAACTATGATTTGGAAATGAGGTCTGTAATGGCTTAAAGTATTTAAGCCCTTAAAATAATGTACTTTGCCTGTAGCTCATGAAGCAGCAAATCCTTTGGCAGTGATATCCTCCTTCCATATAGCAACGAGAGTGACATTATTCATGTCAGGCAAATAATTCTGTCCAAAAAGATGTGTTATATCTTATAGAAGGAAAAGGTAAGACACAGTTTCCCCATAGTTTCTGAATTACTCAATGTTACTTCATTAGGGATAGAAAGGAAAGCATTAATACAACAGGAGTAGGAGAGCTAGCTTGAGCCTCCAAGAATAATTCTGTTGCTGAGTACCGATTATGGTTTCTCATAAACATGTAACTACAGGCACGCTTTGCTTAACACTTACTTGTTCAGCAACTGTTCTAACTTACTATGGTCATATAGTAAAGGACAGGCTAGCGATTATGAAGTTTCAGCATTTTGCACTCAAAGGATCCTCATCTGTGACCTTCACTGCCAGCTTCCTTCAAGCAAAGTCAATGTGGCAGTGGGCAGGAGTTCAACAATGGTGACTCTTGATGTCATGTTTAACAATGCCAACCAGAACTCTGGAACTGCTGTTGCTAAGTGATTTATATTTCATGTGATATAATGCTTTATGACTGCATCTCTTAGCAATGGAAATTCTGGTCCCAGTAGCCATCATTAACCAAGAACTACCTTATATATTGGAATAGGATAAGCCAACTCTTCTTGGCCTTTTGGTTAAGTTCAACTGTATGTGTAGATGAGTTGTACTAGGATTTAAATAGCTATCTTTAGTATTCATGTGAGGCTCTTGGGAGGAGATTCTATATTTCCGGCTCGGTAAGGTTTACAATGGTTAAATCTCATTGTAATTGTACTTCCAGAGTAAGATACACCCCCTTTTCAAAGGTTCCCCCTCTTCCTCATATTCAATTACATAGGGAAGTTCATCCAGCAGTCTAGAACAGAAGCAAGAATCTGAATAAAGGAACAAATTCAACTGAGACCAGCTTGAAATTGTTTACAGGTTGCAATATAACTAAATATAGACTTTACTAATGAAAACATACTTAACTCTTGCTATCTAAACTTATCAAGAACTTAAAATATGTGATTCTTTCAGGGTGATTCTCTGGGAGTCCACAGCAAAGTTTGGCGTTTATTATATGGCAACTTCTTGAAGACCAAATAAGCTCACCCAACAGGGATTTTCTAGTAATCTAGGAATAAGTTCCCAGAAGGCAAATTCAACCCGACCAATCAGTATAACTTAAATAACCTAATCAGATATATTCCACCTTGATTCTGCAAGATCCCTCTGGCATAATTATAGGAAAATTAGCCTGGAATGTGAGGGCCATGCAGTGTGGACTTTGTAATACTTGCAATATGGGTTTTGTAGTACTCTTGCACTGGCTAATTAACATGGATTTTTCTTGTATTTTAATTTGCCTTAGTTCTCTTTCTCTCTTTTAAATGTATTGTTAATTGGCCATGTCTAATCAAGCAAAAATGTAGATAGTTTATACTTTAGAAACTAGGACTGGCAGACTGTTTGATACATTGAAAATAAACACTTTTGTTTTCAGTTGTTCCCAAGCCTCAATGAACAAAGCAAGTATTCGAACCCAAGAGTGGGAAAGTGCTGTTAATGTATCTTTATCAATGCACATTTTGATGTTTTTCCTTTATAAATGTTTCTTTTATTTTTATTCAGATTACAATGCTCTTTTCAATCCTTATGCTTAGATATTATTGGGTGTCTAATTGTTCATGATGTAACTGGACATATGATTTTTCCTAATCCAATCAACTTTTACTTTGAAGTTTCTTTGTTGTGCAAACTATAAAAGTAAATGTAATTCTTTGTTCCAGGTTCTCTCTCACACATAAAGAATCCTTTTTAACTGAAGCATTTCAAATAAATTGTAAATTAAATGGTCTTCCTGTCTTGGGTGCTAATTGAAGTCCAGTGTGCTGAGGCAGAACCTAGCTAGATTTGGCTAACAAATTTTTATTCAGATAGACTTTGACCTAGCCATAGCTGGCTATATTTTTGCTTTAATGGAATGAACTAGCCAATAAGAGGGGATTGAATCTAGCACATTCCACCATCTTGGTTTGTTTAGTTATGTAGTTCTCATACTTTGCTACCCTTTAAGTCAGGAGTGTCAAACTGGTGGCCCGCAGGCCAGATGTGTCTCATGTAGGCCACACCCACCCTGGCTCCACAAAGGCAAAAAACATTGAGATACATCATGTGACACAATCGAGTTTGACACTCTATGACAATTCACTGGGGCCAACTCACCATGGCCAATTTGCTTGGGACAACTTGCTATGGCTAACTCGCCATAGGATAACTTGATCCTGGACAAAAGTTACACTAATAAAGAAATGGAGGAATAGAAACATTAAAGAAAGGATGCAAAAGGAGGGACAGAATGAAATATGATCAATTAAAAATTAAAATATTTTTTTATTTATTTTAAATAATTAAATAGAATTGTTAAATTGTTCCGCAGTGAGTTTTCCCATGGTGAGTTGGCTGGGGCAAGTTGTCCCATTCTCCCTTTAAATACTTTTGATGTTTCAGATGCTGCTGAATATCAGTTCCCAGCAACCTCAGTCAGTTGTCAGCTGCCCAGAAAATCAAGATATTCAGGCAGCTCAAATGAGTAAATAAATATTCATTGCAGGCTTAAGTTCTTTCCAAGTGACTGTTAAGGGAAATGTGCAGGAGTTGAATGGAAATGAATTTAAGATGGGCTGGACTTAGATCTCTTGCGGGAGCGAAGGGACTTATGATGCATTTGATCCCTCCCTTGAGCTCAGCCTGGTCATCTTCTACACTAGCATGACCAATAATGAGAGAGGCTGAGGGATTAGGAAGGAACAAACCCATTTATAAACTATTCTGTGCATGGAACTGATTTCTTGGGATGATTCATGTTCATGTATATGAAACATATGTTTGGTCCATATATAGGAAGAAACTGAATGTTTTTGTTCAAGAGTGTTTCTGAAATGCAAATGTGCTGTGCAAAAATTGAGAGATGGGGAATGAGAAAGATGAGTGGGAAAATGTCAAGGACATTATAGCAGCTGAGGAGATTAGAGAAGCAGGGAAGACAAGGTACTGGAAGGATCTGTTATAGGAAGAGGCATGAGCCTTGTCCTTTGTGCTCCATAAAACTGGTCTGGAATGCATGCAGAGTTCATTGTGGCCAAAACTCTGAAAAACAAACAAAAATATTTGGAGTTTTCTTTCTGCTGAATTGCAACCCACCTGGAATTCTTTAGCAGAACTTTAGAATACAGTACCGTATATTCTGGTGTATAGGGCGACCCGGCATATAAGACGACTCCTGTGTTCGACGCCAAGTCGTAAGACAATCGACGCTGAGTTGCAAGATGATCAACGCCGAGTCGCATGCCTAGAAAGTCATCTTATATGCCGAAAACTACCGGTATTTCCGGCGTATAAGACAATCGACGCTGAATCGCATGCCTAGAAAGTCGTCTTATACGCCAGAAACTACCTTATTTCTGTCGTATAAGACGACTCAGCATATAAGATGACCCTGAGTTCGGCGCCTGTTTCAACGCTCTCAAAAGTCATCTTATATGCCAGAATATACGGTATGTTAGTTTTAGGTCTGAAACAAAACAGAACAGAATAACAGAGTTGGAAGGGACCTTAGAGCTTTTCTAGTCCAACCCCCTGCTCAAGCAGGAGACCCTATACCATTCCAGAAAAGTGGTTGTCCAGTCTCTTCTTAAAAGGCCAGTGATGGAGCACCCACAACTTCCGAAGGCAAGCTGTTTCACTGGTTAATTATTCTCACTGTTAGGAAATTTCACCTTGGTTCTAGGTTGTGTCTCTCCTTGATTAGTTTTCATCCATTGTTTCTGGTCTTGCCTTCTGGTAATTTATACTCAAGATGGGGAGTATACTCTTGTGTATATCCCCATGAGAAATATACTTCACAACATTTGTATTATCTTGTATGTGTCAAGACAAACTTTTTATATGCGATGTTTACAATTCACATGAAGCCATGGGTTGCTGGAAAAAAGATGGTAGATTTTTTTTTTAATTAAAAGTTTTACAAATTACAATATAAACCCACCCATCACCTCCCCCCTCCTCCACTTCCCAGAGCTGATTACAGGGTAACAAATAAACAAACATACTCTAGCTTACATAAACCAACTAAACTATCAATCAAAACCATAATACACTTTAACTCCTTCTCAAAACAAATATTAACAAATTAAGACAAAAATAATACCATTAATACTATTAATAATTATCTAAAATCTATTCAAAAGCAAGATAATACTTTTCAGTTTCATACTTCTTCTGAATATAATCAATCCATCTTCTCCAAACCATAATGAAAAAAGATGGTAGCTTGATTCAACACAAACTATAAACTGCAGAAGATGAATAAAAACAATCAGATCACATCCTGGCATAGTACGATATGTGAAACCTATCTTAATCAACTCATCATTTTAATCACTCCCAAAATTAAATAGGAATGGATTTCATTATTTTGTTATGGTATTTTGCAATTGCTACTAATCTTGGATGAAGAACAATGCAAAAGTATTTCAAAATACTAAATAATAACTAACAATCCATGCTTGCTACTTACCAAAATCCAGGGACAGTCCAGAACTGGGTATCATATGCTGGTTAATTGGCTACATTTAAATTGGGTCAAAATCTATATTAATAGCCTGCAATAAAAAATGAGCTTGCTTTATCATAAAATAACACTGATAGTGAGATATTTTCTAGAAAAAATTATCATCATAATATATTCATTTAATTACGTGCCAATGCAAAGTGATAACATTTACCTGATTACTGAAAATTTAATGAAATGTTTAAATCTGCCACAATTTCTTTTTAAAAAAACTTGTTTCTGAGGTGATATGATACTGAGGTGATTAAATAAACCATTGGTGTTTCAGCTGTGATGAACATACTTCACACATGTAAGACACTCCATTTCAATTAGTAAATGAAAAAAAAAATGTGAACAAAGATTTGCTGTTGCAAACTACTGCTTCTCTCTGCTATATCTAAACCAGCAGTTTTGAAGAACATAATGTCCTTACGTTTAATTTCAAGCCTCTGAAATGGAAAATTTCACTACACTGCAAAAACTATAGAAAGCTATCTCCTATGCCTCAGTACTTTTCTTGCTCTCACAAATGACCAAATGAACCTCTTTTACAGCTCTTACATAACTTTTGTTACATAAGCAAAATAACATTTTCTCCATAGTCACTGCTTTTGGTGTATGATTAGTCACTTTATAAAGGAAGATGTTTCCAACATGTAACAGTGATGGGGGAGGTTTCCCATTTCATTGATTCCAGTGATAAGACTTGGATGCTGTCATAAAACGATTATGCAAGTGGTGTCTGGCTTCTCTGCTTTTATGTTTTATTACAGTTTGTACTTGGCATGTTCTCATGAGTTCCTGAAATGGTACCTGAGTGTTTATTCTGATGTAATTCTCAATAAATTCAATACACGTGTGTACTTGAGTCAAGGTGGACTCCTGGCAACTACCTGGACCAGTCTCTGAAGTTCTCTTGGCAAGATTTTCAGAAGTGGTTTGCCATTGCCTCTTTCCCAGGACTGTGTGTGTGTGAGAGAGAGAGAGACAGAGAGAGAAAGGCACACACACACACACACACACACACACACACACACACACACACACAGAGCAAGCAAGAGAGAGAGCTCAAAGGTCATCTAGGACTAGGTGGCTTCATGCCTAAGACAGGCCTAGAACCCATGTCCTTCTAATTTCTAGCCTGGTGCCTTAACCATTGGATCAAAGTGTGTTTCTCAGTAGAGCTTACTAGTAGCTAAATATAAATAGCATTGCAACCTTACCTGAATATCTCACAGAGACTTTGGGCTGATCTGTACCACCCCAGTTGCCTCAATATGAACTATCATTTTGGAATCAGGTAGTCTTCAGCTTGTACCTACCCATGCTCTGCATCAAAAGTAGTTAATTTCCCTATTGTTGAGTCAAACAGGGCATTCCAATCTGCTGCCTGAGTTTCATTCCCTCTTATAAAAATGGTTGTCTTCCAACTGACTGGTGTTTGCTTTGATAGATCTTTCGCTTCCCCTCCCTTTCTACCTTCAATAGCCATCTTGGGCTGGGCTGTTTGCCAGGCACAAAAGGTTGAATTTTTTTCTTTTTTTTTAACAGGCGCAATAGTGAAATGTTAAAATACTGGCAATGCCCCTGTTTTTCTTTTAAACTGGGTGGATTGACAAATATTCTATAAATTTTCTCTTTTAACATGAAGGATGAGAAATAATAAAATTCTTATTTTTCCTCCTTCAAAGAAATACCATCAAAAAAAAAAAATTTTTTTTTAAAGATACCCACAGAAGAGAAAGCCAGTTTGCTGCATTGGTCAAGGCTTCTGACTAGAAATTGAGAGACCATGAGTCCTATCTTACTTTAGGCAAAAAGCAAGCTGGGTGACCTTGGTGTTCTCTCTCTCCCTCTCTCTCTCTCTCTCTCTCTCTCTCTCTCCCTTCCTCCCTCCCTCCCTCCCTCAGGAAGCAGGGAATGTCAAAGCATTTCTGAAAAACCTTGCTAAGAAAACTGCAAAAACTAATTTGAAGGTCCATGTGGGAGCACCAAGATACACACACATGAGAGAGAGAAACAATTGAGGTTTGTTTTTTTGACACATATATTAAAGATGCAGATGAGTCTACTAATCATGGGTGTATTATCCTCAGTCCAGTTAAAAACTTGGGCATTGCTGTGGTCAAGTAGACAAGAGGATTGAAAATAAATTCTTAAACTGGATTTTTTTTCTAGCCTTTATAGATATGGGAGAAAAGCAGTTGAAGGCTGCGATATAGAATCATTAAAAAAAAAGTTTCGTTTTTTTACTAAAGTTCTTTCTGTATCTGAAGTTTTATGAGAACTGTCACTATTGCTGCTACACCAGTTCATTTTTGACCATTGACTTTCCTTCTACTGGCTCATTCAATTCTTTAAACTTTGTTCTGCCTTTGCCGAGACTTTGCTAGGACTTGCTTTCCTGGGCTTAATCCAAAGATTTCAAATGACTGTGTAGAGATTAAAAAGAAAGGTTCACTTTAGTTGCAAGGTAACCCTTCAAAGTGAGTAGATAGATAATCTCCAGTTCCTAAACTATAAAAAAGAATACTTTTAGGCACTTATCGTTAAATGTTAACTTAGCCGTAAATAAAAAAAGTAATAATAATTTACCCTACATTTTACATTTTGCAAAAAGTAATTTAAAAAAAATACAAAGTAGGAAGAACAGAAAATACATCAAAACTACAAAAGATAAAATAAAGAAACAATTGTCACATATTAATCAAATGTTAAATCTAAATTTCTAAATCAGGAAAAAAAATAAAATGATAAATAAGTGATTCTATAACATTATGAAATATCACAAAATCTACACCATCAAGCAAACAAGGATATTTTTAGTAGATACTATAAAGTAGCCCTTTCAAAAATAGATATGTCACACATCTCTAGAATCTAATACTTAATCTCAGAATATTACTACTTTTACAATTTCTCAAAATAACATTTTGAGTAGCACCCCAGGGCTGAACCAACTATAAATCCTCAAAAGTAATCAAACTACATAAAATCAGGACATAATTTAACATAACATTAATATCTTTAACACTAAAAACATATCCCATAAATTCATTTATATACATTAATATTTCAAAAAGATATCTCTGGTAGTTAGATCAAATCATATGAATCAATGACCCTTCAAATTTTTTACAACAGTAGTAGGAAAAAATAATCAGCCATCCATCGTTTCAAATATGGTATTTGGAGTGTCTGATAAACTTAAAATAACATCATTGGTTGAACCAGTTTTAGCTATAGGTGAAAGTTTTAGTATTACATAATGTATATCATTCAGATGGGAAGCTCTCTGGCCTGTCGATTTTCATCAATTTTCTAATATTTCTTGGAGTGACAAAGGCATTTCTTAAAATATCAGTATTAACCTGTGAATATTAATTTGCCTTTAGTATTGATTAATATCTTGTTGATCAGTCTTGCCTTCCAATTTGTATAATGACATATATATATATATATATATATATATATATATGTAGGTCTTTGGTTGTTCGGGTTTTCTCCCACGTAAAATTGGAAGTGTCTTGGCGACGTTTCGACGAAGTCCCATTCGTCATCTTCAGGCTGGTGCTTTCAGCTTCGTGCCTCGAGCTGCAGTTCGAGGCATGAAGCTGAAAGCACCAGCCTGAAGATGACGAATGGGACTTCGTCGAAACGTCGCCAAGACACTTCCAATTTTACATGGGAGAAAACCCGAACAACCAAAGACCTACATACAAATAAATATATATATATATATATATATATATATATATATATATTATGTTTTCTGAGGTTTTCGCGGGTATTTGTATATAGGTCTTTGGTTGTTCGGGTTTTCTCCCGCGTAAAATTGGAAGTGTCTTGGCAACGTTTCGACGAAGTCACATTCGTCATCTTCAGGCTGGTGTTTTTAGCTTCTGCTTTGAGCAGCAATGTGTGGTTTTAGCTGTTTCTTCCTTTTAACTGCCAGTGAGGGTATGAACTGATTGGGTGGGAGCTTGGCTGTGTTCTGATTGGGTGGAGGTGTGTTCTGAATGGTTAGGGGCTTGGCTGTGCTCTGATTGGCTGGGGGAGTGTTCTGTTTGGTTGTGCTCAGGTTAGTCTGAGTTGCAGAGGGGTTTAAGATTTTGGGGTTAGGGAGTCGTTTGTCAATAAGGGCAGGTTTCCAAATGGCTGGTAGGCGGGAGGTATCATCTCGCTTGTTCATGCTGTGTGGGCGTTTTTCTATCTCGATGGCTTCTCTGATTATTCTGTTATTAAAATGTTCACTTTTGGCAATGGTTCTGGTATTTTTAAAGTCAATTTCATGTCCTGTGGCTTTAAGGTGTTGGACCAGGGAAGATGTTGGTTCCTCTTTTTTGACTGAGTTCTTATGTTCTTCAATGCGTGCACTTATTCTTCTGTTGGTTTGTCCGATGTATGTGGTGGGACAAGTGGTGCATGGGATTTCGTATACTCCTTGATTTTCTAATTCAATTTTATCTTTGGGGTTTCTAAGGATGGTGGATATTTTTCTGTTTGTGCAGAATGCTGTTTTGATGTTGTGTTTATGGAGGATCTTACTGATTCTGTCTGTGGTGCCTTTTATGTATGGGAGGAGGGCTTTGCCGTTTTCTTGTTCTTTGTCTTGGATTTTAGTGGGGGTTTCTTTTTGGATTAGGTTTGTAATCTTATTTCTATGGAATCCATTGGATGTTAGTACATTGGTGAGAGTGTGTAGTTCGGGTTTTAGGTGTTGTTCGTCAGCTAAGCGTTTTGTTCTGGAGATGAGTGTCTTGGCTACAGAGTTGATCTGTGCTGGGTGGTGGTGTGAGAGAGCGTGCAGATAGCGGTTTGTGTGTGTTTTCTTCTGGTAGATGGTGTGTCCTAGGGAGCCATTGGATTTCTTGTAGACTAAGACATCCAGGAAGGGAAGTTGGTTGTTAGCTTCTGTTTCCATGGTGAACTGTATTTTGGGGTGTAGGCTGTTGAGGTGTGTGAGGAAGTTGTCCAGTTTTTCTTTCCCATGTGGCCAGATTATGAAGGTGTCGTCTACGTATCTGAGCCAGAGTTTGGGTTTGTGATCCGATTTTTCTAGAGCTTGGGTTTCAAAGTGTTCCATGTAGAGGTTGGCAATGACAGGTGAGAGGGGTGATCCCATGGGTGCTCCTTCTGTTTGTTTGTATTTTTGTCCGTTATAGATGAAGTATGTGTTGGATAGGCAGTGGTTGGTCAGATCTAAGATGTGTTTGGGGGGGTTATATTTGTTTTGAATAGCTGTCAAGGCTTCTTTGATAGGCACTTGGGTGAAGAGGGATATGACATCGAAGCTCACTAGTAGGTCGCTGGGCTGTAAGCTTTGTTTCTTTATGATCTCTATAAACTGGAATGAGTTTTTTACGTGTGAGGTGATGGATTCTGCATAGGGCTGTAGTTGTTTGGCGAGAAATTTGGCTAGGTTTTGTAGAGGTGAGCCTATGGAGCTGACTATAGGTCTGAGTGGGGTTCCTTCTTTGTGTATCTTGGGGAGACCATAGAGTTTGGGGCATCTGGATGATTTCTCTCTGGGAATGATTCTTTGCTGGATCTCTTCGCTAATGGGGGAGGCTTTTATCTTGGTTCTGGTGGTTTTTTCCAGGTAGGTGGTGGGATCTGTATTTAGGGGTTTGTATGTGGAGTCTTGGAGTAGGTTGGTTAATTTGGTTTGGTAGTCAGATGTGTTCATAACCACCGTGGCGTTGCCCTTGTCTGCTGGTAGGATTATTATGCTGGTGTCTTCTTTCAGGTTACGTAGTGCTGTCTGTTCCTCTTTGGGTAAGTTGCTTTTGGGTGGCTTGCTGGTGCAGAGGATGTTGGTGATTTTGAGTCTGATTTGTTAGCGTCATCGGGGTTGATTTTGGTCAGGCTGGTTTCAACTCCACATATAATGGTTTCAGTGGGGATGTGTTTGGGAGCGACTGCAAAGTTGAATCCTTTGGAAAGGACATTGGTTTCGGCTTTGGTGAGGATCCTATCTGAGATGTTATGCACTGTTTGTTTCATGTGTGGCTGTGAGGGAGGAGGGGTTTGTTTCT